TAAATTACCCAAACATTATAATGTTAACACATACTCATTTATATTGTTGTATCCACATTCTAACTAAACTGAATATAAATTGAGAGAGAGAGAGAGAGAGAGAGAGAGAGAGAGAGAGAGAGAGAGAGAGAGAGACTAATTTTAATGATTCTGAGCACTACTCCCAATAATTTGATTTGCAGTATAATTATCTTAGCCATATATTTTCTTATATTTTATTGTGCTGTTATTGCAATATAGTTTTGTGGTAAAAGTTGTTTCATTAAAGTTGTGTCGCAAATCACGCAAATATCTCCATTTTTTTAATTAGATAATAGCTAAAGCTATCGCCGTCATGGCCCTAATTTAGCGTCAATATATAATTATGTTTTTTTTTATTTCAACACCTTTTGTGAGATCTGGTTAATTACGAGGAAATTTACCTTAACCGAGACTGTCCTAAGTTTTCTAAGCACTTGCTAGCAGACAGAGTAATGTGGGACACTTCCTGGATGCAAATGTATTGGATAAAAACGACTGAAATTAATAATTAAGAAGATCATTCTGGAATTGAGCTAATCTCGACCCAGTCAGATATTTTATCTTTTCTGTTTTTGTGAAGTTTGTTTCGTTTCTTATTTGTGTCTTTTTCTAAACTTGATCTCTGTAATTTAATGAATGCACGTATCATTTTTTTTTTGCTGGGAAAGAAGTGTAAAAGTGCAAAATAGAGACAAATTGGTGGTTTTGTTGGGGACTACAATAGGGTGTATTAACAGCTGACGATTTTGTTGAGATTTGCGAATAGGTATGATAAAACGTAATGATTTTTAAGGAACCAGGAGAGGGCGTAATACCAGCGGACGATTTTGCTAGAATATACAATAAGCTGTGATAAACAGCTGATGATTTTGTTGAAAACGACGATAAAGTGAAATAACAGCTGACGATTTTATGAGGAACGATACTTACCAGCCAGTAAGTAGCAACCAATCAATATCGGATTAAATTTGAAATGTGGTTGACGCCATTTAAGAAACATTTATAACTTGAAACATTTTGAGTGTAGCAACAGGAACACATTATTTAATTTGTTGTAGTAATTCATACACCGTCACTAGTAAGCGTCAAGACTTGTACTTGAACTATCCAATGGTATGCGAAAGACGTCACGTTACGTTCTGGTCACCTTGTGGTCCCTTAGCTGGTAAAAAATGTCCATGATATCTAACGACCGAAAGTCCGTACAGACTTTTAATGTATCTTTGAGCACAGTTCTTCCGGAACTAAGTGTTTTGACATTTGTGATGTCTAAATTAGTAGGTCATAAACAAACAATTGTGAGACATTAGAGTCGGTGAAACAAGACCAAGATCCGATTGCCTCTCACAAGTGGTGAAACTATCTTGGTTTCTGGGCATTCTGGAATTGACCACATACATTTAGGATCTTGACCAAAAGAAAGTAAATTAGTTGTCGAGACATCTCATTAGGTGTTCCTTCGGTATCAAGAAAAAGTTTGGAATGTGCATATAAAAACAATGATAGTAAGAAAAAAAAACAACTTGAAACGTCAGTTTAAAATGGCAAAATGCGCCTGTTCTAGTACGCATTAAAATTATATTCATGTAAGCTTTATCTATCTATCTATCTATCTATCTATCTATCTATCTATCTATCTATCTATCTATCTATCTATCTATCTATCTATCTACCTACCTACCTACCTACCTACCTACCTATCCATCCATCCATCCATCCATCCATCCATCCATCCATCCATCCATCCATCCATCCATCCATCCATCCATCCATCCATCCATCCATCCATCCATCCATCCATCCATCCATCTATCTATCTATCTATCTATCTATCTATCTATCTATCTATCTATCTATCTATCTATCTATCTATCTATCTATCTATCTACATTTGGCCCATACTTTCAACATATATTCAATCATATGCAGTCAAAGTGCTGCGAATGTACTATACAGGTGCACACGGCAACCAGGTAGAGATGGAATGATTTGACAGAACTTTTGGAATTGTTCTCACGACAATACAAATAAATGGAACGCTTTTATTCAGAGTTCTCATATACACAGTAGTTGTTCGTTCCACGCATCGGTTGAACCGCGCCTGACTTCTACTATATGTGATTTTCATGGTGGAAACGTATTTAAACACTTTATCTTTATTTGGAAGGATGGTGTTGGTGGAATAATCCATTTTTTATTCTTACTTCTTATTTCTTATAAAATTTTTTGGAGTATGAAATGAAGTTAAACGCATATTAAGGGAACAATTCCCGTTATATAATTTGTCATTTTAGCTAAAGTCTCAAATAATAAGTATATCGATTTCACGTGTGTTACTGTGCAAGAAATGAAAACAAGGATCAAATAACAAAATAAAACAAACAAAATCAAAAACATAAAAAGAAAACATTGGAAATATAAAATTGAAAAAAAAGAGTGAACAGGTTTTATTTCTCTAAACCTACAAACGTTCTAAAGATCTTTCAATGAATGCAATATCTAGCAATTATTCTGGTACATTCGGACTTTATTCACTTTGTGAGTGATTAGGTAAACTTTACACATCGATAAATACCCAATCATGATTATTTAATTAAGTAGATTGTCAGTTCATTTGCCTGATTGTTTCTTGTGGGTTTATCGCCTTTTCGTATCACATTATAAGCTGTGCATGGCAGCTGGGGGAAAGGAAGAACCCCGAAAAAAGAACAAACCAGAGAAGCTACTAGCAAGCTTTGTCACATGCCCACATTGGTCAAGCCTAAGATTCGAAACCGCACAGACAGAAGTGAGATGGAGGGTAAGGCGAACACTTTAGAGCCCAGTTTAAATATGTAAGCCCAGATTTAAGTCACTTTTATAATAAACAGGTCTCATAAGCACCGCTCTTCATGGTAAAGGTATACTTGGAGAGTATCCCATTTGGGAAAACGTTTAAAAGCGTACAGGATTGTTAAAATCTTGACACATGTTTTCAGATAAGGCAAAATGAAGAGGGGAACAAACTTAAACGAGAATATGTGAGGAAGGAGTCAAATAAATCATTTTCCTTCATTTCTACCTCACCTATTTGTTTCCGGTTGTGCATATTTTGGTATCAACGATAAAAGGTAAAATCAATGAAAGAAAGAAAAAGAAGACTATGAATTAAGTAGATAAAGATCTTTACGCACATCTAAAACACTGCAAATAATGCCTATATTGTTATTGAGATGTCGAAACTCGGTGATTTTAGGCAAGGAGACATGTAGGGATAATAGTCGTCTAATTATTCCCTGTCCTCCATTGACCTGTTAAGAATGACATCTCTGCGTCGCATGTGCATCGATTGGACCACACAGCACACCCACTAGATGAACGTGACAGAATTAACACCTGTATGTAAGCACCAAAGGGTCACGTGATGTACATCTATAATGAGAGCTTAATCGCCATATAGACACACTATTCCTTAGAAGAATTCAATCCTGCACCATAGCCCTTAAGTAAAAACCCGTGATATCAGGGAATTAACTAAGTTTAAATATTATCTCTTTGCCGGCCAACTCTGTGGCCACGGTTCGCGTTTGTATATTACGAACGACATATGAGTTTCAAATATGTGATCACATTAATTTCTTCATTTTTTAATTGTTAAGTATATATATATATATATATATATATATATATATATATATATATATATATATATATATATATATATATATATATATATATATATATATATATATATACGAGTAACTTCGATTCATTGAGATTTGGAGGTAATTCTCATCGCGCTTCTCCCCAGATTAGTAAGTTAATGGAGGAGGTACATTTGGCTAGAAGAATTAATATTATAAATGATTTGCGCTGAAAATAACGAAAACGAGCACTTTGTGAGCTACAACATACATAAATTTGTGAGTTTGAGCACATAATTGTAAATAGAAACTGTATTATATTTCAAACGTGGAAATTATATTTCAAACGTGGAATATTATATTTTGCTGAAGAGATTTGCCTCAATGCCGCTCACGTCTCTATAGAGTTATTTCCCGTTACTTCCTTCACAACAATGATCAAATGAGGAATGTAATGCATTGCTGAATCGGACTCTTTCTGTGGTCAGATATACGATCAGATAGTTTACAAAATGTCAAAAATGTAATTAGTTCGCAAGATTAGGTCATCCAAATTATACTTCTCTATTAACTCGCCGATGTTTATGTGATCAGCACACAGTTGTATGACGCGAGCTTAATGCCGAAAAAAAATAACCTGAGGAGAAAAAAAGAAATATTCCAAATGACAAAATTACTTCAGATTACTCATATGGTCCATTCTAACAACGGATCATGTCAACTAAATTATATAAGAGACATGACATGTAACTTCCAAACTCTTCACTATATATTTGACCCTCTATCTAATGCAGCTTTTCACGCCCGTGAAAGCAATCTGCTATACCCTACTGTTCGATTGTCTCCTGATTCATTTTGCTTTTCATCAAGCAGTCTTCGATGTTTCTTCGCTGCACCAAACGGTAAAGCAAGAATGAACTTTGAATGATGAGACAACTCTGAGACGACTTTTATACTTTATGTTGAATCAGCATTTTAGCATATAAATGATTTTAAAAGATTTCAGTCTTTTTAAAATCTAAATCTCCCACCCAATGTAGATCTTACAGCACTGATTGAAGTTCATGTTCCGTTGACTTTGGGAGTTATTAGTCCAGCTTATTTAATAGGCTATCACTTTTTTAGCGTGAAAGTCGAAACCAAGCCAAAATCCCAAAAATTATAAATGACGCAGACATCTAGGCCAGCGATATTTGGGAGATCAAAAAGTATTCATTTTTTTTTTTAAATCCCCAGAGATCAATAACTGCAGCTATTTCTTATTCAAATTACACACACTGAGACCTTAAGCTTAATTTTGCTTTTTGCACTTAACAGGTTTTGAGAATACGCATAGAGTTTAATAATACGCATTATTTCTTAGGGGAAAAGTGGTAAAAGTGTCCGCCTCGGATGTGGAAGGTCGCGGGTTCGAACCCCGGCCTAGTAATACAAAATACTTATTAACAAAATGGTACTAGAAGCTACCTCGCTAGGCGCTCGGCATTAATAGGTTAGTATTGTGATGGTTGGCCTGGTGCCAGGATAATGATTGGCATGATGTCCCAATGCCAGACAGAACTATGAACTACCACGCTGCAGACATTGTAGCGATATGAATGGAAATTTTTTAAAGCTAAGTTAAAATTCCAAATCACACACACACACACACACACACACACACACACAGAGTTATGATAGCATAGCATGCTGCGATGATAAGAAGTTGTGACGAACTACCCAGTCAATATATATATATATATATATATATATATATATATATATATATATATATATATATATATATATATATATATATATATATATATATATGTATATATATATGTATGTATGTATATATATATATATATATATATATATATATATATATATATATATATATATATATATATATATATATATATATATATATATATATATATATATATATATATATATATATATAGCTATTGCTTGGCTTCCTGAATACGCAGTTACTTGATAAGATGTGTTTATGTCAGGCACGTGTTTCAGTACAATAGTACACAATCTATTCATATCAAATTAAATAGGCGTAACAAGTAATCATTTTGCAATTATATATCAGAAGTAAGTCTATCAGGTAATAAATTAAAGGATAAAGGCCACACCATCTTTTTCAACCGCTGTAGGGTATGAAAATAATTGAATTCAATGAAAACAGAGTTTTGACTATTATACACTAAGTTAGTTTTGATAACATAACAAAGCAACGTCTCAGGTACGTGATAGGACAGAAATTCCAAACGTAATACCGGGAAACAACTGTCACATCGAAGTGAGTGGGGCAAAAGTTCAGGGCCCGGTCGCTGAATTCTCAAGGTTCCGAACGTCTCTCTGCAAGCTCACTTCACTTCTTTAAAACCGCAAATTATCCAGCTTTGATTTAAATATACGAATTACATTGTGCATGTAGGGTATCTTTATCTTTTCTTTATATAGGCACACAATTCCCAAATAGAATTAACTGTTGATAGAGTCTTAGAGTAGAATATAATTTAAAAATATACTCACGTGTAGATAGGAACGAGTTTTATTCTTACTTTTGAAAGAGTCGTTTTGCTTATATCAGACCTAAACATATGGGAGGCTGGAGAATATTGTCACAGCTGCCAAAGGAAGGCGTGAAATTATCACACCAAATCAGAAGTTGGTCTTCGTTAACTAACATTTTTCATCGTTTGCTTTCCCAGTATAGCTAACTGGGTATTACAGTCTGCGCCAGTTAATTAAAACAAATATGTTTTTGATCAAAATCTTTATTTGTAATGTACGCGTTCTTGTGAAAGGTAACAAAAGACAAAAGGAAATTACATTAACATTTGCGAATAATATGCATAAACAACATTTCAAAAGGATTGCCTTTTTATTTGCTATCCTGGTTTTAGTATTTCACTTTCTTATTGAGAAAACGGTTTAATTTGGAGATCAGTAAGATTCTTCGATTCCAAGCGTTTTGGTGATAAGGATTTTTTTTTAAAATAGATTATAGATCCCTCGGATGAAACTCTTTAAGTGATGTCTTTTTGGTCTAAACATGACAACATTTTAATTGATAAAGATATCAAACGACAAAATTTTCAAGCAATAATTTGAAAGCAGTTTATTTGTAAACTCTAATTTGTGCGCAGATATTTAACACGGCAACTACGATGACCAATTACTGTTCTAAAATCACTATTAATGCATGATACAAGCATTTGCGTCGGTTTCCTTACATACGCAATTTTTTTGACTAAACGATATTTAAGAATACGTAGGACAAGTGCTATTTTTCACGAGCGCGTGTGTGTGATTTGAACTTTTACGTAGCTTTAACAATTTTTACTACACATCGCAACGATGTCTGCAGTGTGGTAGTTTATAGTGATGTCTCATGGTAGAATGATATCCGACATAGTCAAATTATCCCAACGAGGCTGCGATTAGTACCATTTTTATATCTCTTTTACCATGTATAAAATGATATCATTCTGTTGTTTTTTTGTATCTCATAAATAAATAAAAATGACGTTTCGGAAATTAAAAATAAAAATTTGTCTACGCCAGCACAAAAGTTTCGCACTTGAGGTTTTTTATATAACGGAAGAGTGTAAATGTCAGACAGTTTTATGTTTGTCATAGCTAACTGTCTCTCTATCTATATGTTTGTTTGTCTCTTCGTCTATATATTACATAGATAGTTTTCGCTTAATTCTTTTTTTTTCTTTGTAATATTAAAGGAGTTAGTCAATGAATCATTGAATGAGATGTAATGATTATATCGTTATTATCAATATGAAATAGAAACACTATTGAATATAGTAAAGACAGTCATTGTACCTTTAAAGTACCAAGTCATTTGCGATCACATATCAGTTCTGAATATGCCTTACATATGATGCATAACAGAAATTGCAAGCCAGATGAGAGCTGACCACGTGCCACTTACCCATCAAGTGAGATGTCAGAAGTTCAAGGCCGGCTATGACAGGTCTAACCATCTCTCTGTATACACGAATTATTATCTCCAAAGTTGACATGCTTTCCGAAAGCTACGGGCCCAGCACGAAAAGCTTTAAAATATTTTGGATTTAATACAGTTATAATGGATGGCAAATTGGCATCTTTTGTACCAACGGTAAAAAATCTTATGTCGGAAACTTTTTGTCAAACTCGTAGTATTTTCTAAGGAAGAGGTCAATTAAATGTGTTGTTTTATATTTCCAATAACGTTTGCATTTTTTTCTCCTTTTAGTATAACAGCAGTCATATTTGACAGCAGATTGAAATCGATTTGAAAGTATTTAATGCCTTGATGTATTTTGTCTAATTTGGTTAAATTCCCCTCCGCCTTTCTTGTTGTTCTGTTATTTTTATTAATAAAGGCCATGTTCGATGACGGATAGAAAGAACAAATGAAAGTCATGCTTGCACCAAAACACATTCAGTCAACTTCGGTTAAAAGGCATTCAGCAGTTTTTCACAAGCCGTTTAAAGGTTTTTTTTTATTTAAAAAAAAAATATTAATGTCTCTCATGTTCGAGGCCGAGTCGGCAACATCTGCAAACAAATGTAAATATACCAGGAATTTTTCACCTGGAATTTACTATTCTTATGTAAGACCATGAGTTCAGACAGAAGTTGTTGTGCATCCTTCGCATAAAAATACACTTAATATTACTGGTTCATAACGCAAACCCAGCTCCAAACAGTTGAAGCAAGTCTCGTTAAATCAAGTTTTTTTCCCTGTTACCAAATTACGTTAGAAAGCCAATATCATAGTCCGGTAGCTAGTAAAATCTACGTCTTCCGGTTTGTTAGTCAATATTGTCAGTTGCAAAACAGTAACTTCATTTTGGAAACGAATGTTTATAAAAATATACCCCACCCCCACACCGAAGATAGGTAGATTAGTTGGTAGCACATCTAATGCTTGTGAGACCGTAGATTATTATAAGCCACCATCTTGGTAAAGGCATAAGAATTTGTATTGCTACGAAGATAAGCTGCCAGCCGATAACTGCAGTTCTTGTTGGAAATTGGCAAACGATTGTCATAAGCCATTAACTGCTGAAGTGTCCGTATGATTTTATTTGTATCTACATTGTACCTTAGAGTTATATTCATGACTGTAGCTTGTATCAGTCATTACTGAACAACATAGTACATAGCTAACTTTTGTGAATTTCCGCATTAGCGTAGATTTTACAAGCTGTTTGCTCGGATTTGTGATCAAGACCTTGGTTTTTACCTTGGAAAGTTTATTTTCTACTTGATTTTTATTTATCAAGGTATTTACTTAAATGTAAGTTCAAGGCCTGAGCTCATTTGTGAATTTCATGGGAAAATAATCCACATCCAAGTTATCTTATTGTATCCAATTTTTAAAATATATGGTTGGAATTGTAAACGAAGTCTTTTAACAGCAGTATTTGTAAAATCGCTTTAGTTGTGTTTAGTCATAATTTGAGAGGAATTATTTATTTCAATTAGTCAGTGAAATCACAAAGAATTATTTTACCATTGGACTGTAACACTAATTTGGGATTATTGTGAATTCATTAAAAGACATTCTGGATTATATCAATATGATACATTAAGACTGTTGGAAATTTTCACTTTGGTTTGTTTTTTTTCTGTTATTTTGTTTAGGACGATAGAGTCATGACATTAGTAAAATCTTTCACGCAACAGTGAGGTCTTTATCAAAACTCTAGTTAAGACACCCTCTTTGAATTTCGGTACCTTTGTCAAACATGTAGTATAAATTAGTTGTATATGGTTTTAAGAAAACCGGAAATGAGATACTGCTCTCAGTTTATTGTCTGTTTCCATATGGAATCGGAATACCGCCATAATACTATTCATGCATTTCCTATTAGTATATGCTGTATATTCCAGTCCCAGTTATATTATTATTTTTTTGCATATGCTATTTGTGTCGGTTGTAAATTCTACATTACATTCTTTCATGAGCCAATATTTCCTTCTAAATTTGACATATGTGATACTGGATTACTGCAATTTCATTCCTTCAATTGACATGTGTGATACTGGATTACTGCAATTTTATTCCTTCTAAATTTGACATGTGTGATACTGGATTACTGCAATTTCATTCCTTTAATTGCCTTGTGAATAATTTATGTACTGCATGCATCAATATTCTACATTGCATCATTTCATTTCTTAATTTTCTCATTGCATTTCTGACAACTCATTTAACTGCAAGTTAATCACCGTGACGATTAAAATGCATACAGTTGTAGAATTTACAGTGTAATACAGTGAAAAGTTACAAATAATGCAAGTTGGAACATTGTAATCAACACTATTGTTGTTATAATGGGACATTACTATAACGCCCTCATTATGACAGTAGACTGAGATGTTACATTAATCACGGGAGATGAGCAATTGTCCGGGGTCC